AACTTTGAGAATGGAATGAAAATGTAGTTGTTGAGCCAAAAAAACAAAAAAAAAGTTAGATGGTTTGGAAATATCTTTAGCGGATTTATGTATAACTCTTTTGAAGATAAAACAAACAAACAAGAAATTCGATTTTATTTTTTAATTTAAAGGAAATTGGGCCAAATAACCAAGAAAAATAAATTATCTTAAAATTTAACCAAAACAAATTTATGTGGCTAAATCCTAATCCATGTAGGATATTTGGTCACTATTTTAAATATATATATATATTTAAAGGAAATTTGTAAAAATATTAAAAGAATTTTGTATATTTTAAAAACTAATCCATGTTTCTAAAAATTTGATAACTAATTTTATTGGCAATTAAGATTATTAGATATATAAATATTTTAAAAAATCAAGTTGTGTTATCGTTGGATAATTAATTCTATTATAAAATAATTTACAAAATTAAAAATATCATTTCACATGATTGATCAAAAAATAAAAAATGTAGATTATACATAAAATATACAACCATAAAAAATTACATATCTGACAAAATTAAAAATGTGAATTGCATAAAATTTATGGTTCGCGTTCAAGTTATATAATGTTTAGTTCATTTGATTTAGTTTCTCATAAATAGTTGAGTATAGGAAAATTAAGTTGGCAATTTTTTTTGCCTACCCAAGTTCTTATATTTTGCACTATAATAATTGATTGAAAGATTTATTTTAATGATCTTGTATAAGACATTTTCTTATGTTATTTACATGTGTTGAGAGGGAGTTATACATTCTTATCTCAAGTTGTACATTACTACCTCAATTTGAGGTATACCATTGTTATATTTTGCTATAAAATTATATTTTACAGGTTTGATTAAAATTCGATTTTCCGTTTATATTATATTTTAATATTTTGCAGTTAATTAAAGCAACAACAAAAAATGGTTATTTATATAGTTGGTGTACTTTGACTACATTTAGAGTAGTAATTGTATATAATTTATCCAATTTTGTTTTAAAAGATACTTTTTGTAATTATAAATTATCAAATTTGATGGAGATATTATTGGCTTTTACTTTAAAAAAAATTAGTTTTCAAAATCTTGAAAACATGGGTTAGTTTTCAAATTACATAATTTATTTGGATTATCAAACCAAACCTCTCTGTTTTTTATGGTTATTTGCTAAATTACATAATTTTTTTGGATTATCAAACCAAACTTTTTTTTTATGGTTATTTGCCAAATTAACCCTTAATTAATTGGTTTACAAGAAATTTTGTTTAGAAACAAACAAAAAAAGAGAGAAAAATCGAGACTTTTTTCCGGAAAACCCTTAATTTCGTCTTCTTAGACAAATTTCTTTGTTCCTTCGTTTCTTCTTCTAGGTTGAAATTCGTGCAATTCCTCGGTTGAATAATACTTTTAATTTGTATTGTCCTAATTTCTCCAGATTTTTGGCTTCGGATTTGAGACATTTGTGTTGAAATTAGTAGGCGAAGATTAGGTCGGAGGAGGTGAGAAGATGAGTTCCAAAACGGTGGAAGGTCCGTCTTCTCCGGCGATTCGACGTGACCCTTACGAGGTACTATCTGTATCAAGAGACGCCAATGATCAGGAAATCAAATCCGCTTACAGAAAATTAGCTCTCAGGTAAATTAGCTTCCTCACGAAATCTCGCATTATAATGACAGAAAAATGTTGTTTTTTTTTTTTCCATTTGCTTCAATCTCATGGCCTTGAATACATTTTCTAATGAACTTTTAGGTTGCTTTTGTAGCAATTTCGATTTGAAGTTTATGTTGTGACTATAAATCCCAATGTTTGGATACTGTTATGACACTTGATGGGTGTAGTTGGTAAGCTTTTGTGTTATTAGTCTAGAGCAGGAGCATTGTAAGGTGGTTTGTACTAGTGTTGAAAGCTCAACAACTATAGTTTAACTGGAAGTTTAGGCACAAGGAGTTAGTGACTTCTCTCGTGAATCGAGTCCCGTCTATGGTTTTCTGGTTCCAATCTTATCAGTATAATGCATCCACCCGGGTCACTGCCTTTGATATGTTAAGACTCTATCTAGTGTTTTTGAATTTGTTGAATCGGCATCTTGTACTTGATCAGATCCTTCTTGTTTTTTTTTATGTTCATCTGTTGCATCTTCTTGGGTGGTGTTTTACATTAAATTTCCTGCATTGGATTCAAACAATGGATAGGTATCATCCGGACAAGAATGCGAACAATCCCGATGCTTCTGAACTTTTCAAGGAAGTTGCATATTCATATAGCATTTTGTCTGACCCAGAAAAGAGAAGGCAGTATGACAATGCAGGATTTGAGGTGATATTTGTCTCTTGTCAGTCTTCATAAGAATCAAAAGCAAGAGAATTGTCAAGCTATAGTAAGAGTTTCTCATTATGTTAGGCCCTCGATGCTGATGGGATGGACATGGAAATTGACTTGTCTAACCTAGGAACCGTAAATACTATGTTTGCTGCATTATTCAGGTGAAGTTAACATATTTCTCCTGATTCTATTAAGAGAGCAATCGTTTTGAATCCTTTCTATTAACCTTTCGTTCTCCTTATATATGTCAACATTCAGCAAACTAGGTGTGCCCATCAAGACTACTGTATCTGCCAGTGTTCTTGAAGAGGCTATGAATGGAACTGTTACAGTTCGACCCCTTCCGATTGGAACATCAGTTAGTGGGAAGGTGTGAAATCAGATTACATGACTTTCTTCTTACCTCATGTCCTTTTGTATTGGAACTGAAGTTTATTCTGATATCTCATATCAGGTAGACAAGCAATGCGCTCATTTTTTTGGAGTTACGATAAGTGAACAGCAAGCTGAATCAGGGGTTGTCGTTAGAGTAACATCAACAGCACAAAGTAAATTCAAGGTATGCTCGGAATGCCCTTTGTTACCAGCTTGAAAGTTGTTTTCACCTAATTTACTTCATGGCTAACTTCGAAATCTGTCTATTCTTCAGTTGCTTTATTTTGAGCAAGATTCAAGTGGCGGCTATGGATTGGCCTTACAGGTAATTGTTATTAGAAGAGCGTTGTTCGTAGTATTACCATGTTACTGAGCTGTCTTTAGACAAAGATAGAGGCACCATATTTTCTTTTACTCTTTTTAATACTTTCAGCTAGTTCTTAAAAAGTTTTCATTTTTTCTCATTGTGATTCCATAATAGCATGAGGCTTCTGTTTGTTCTTGCAGGAAGAGAGTGAGAAAACAGGCAAGGTAACGTCAGCTGGCATGTATTTCTTGCATTTTCAAGTATACCGAATGGATTCGACAATCAATGCGGTATGAAAGTGCTGAACGTTTTTTTCATAATTATCGAACATCTTAGAAGGGCAGATTTGTTAAAGCAATCCACGTTGCGCTGATTGTGCAGTTAGCTGTCGCCAAGGACCCTGAATCTGCTTTCTTTAAGCGATTGGAAGGTCTTCAGCCATGTGAGGTTTCAGAACTGAAATCTGGCACGCATATATTTGCAGTTTATGGTACGAATTGTGATTCTCTTTTTGCAATAGCTTGAACTTTTCTGAGACCTTTGTTAACTCGTTTCTAGTTACTTTCAGGTGATAACTTCTTTAAGACTGCATCCTACACGATTGAGGCACTCTGTGCAAAGACCTATGAGNATACAACAGAGAANTTGAAGGAGATTGAAGCTCAAATCTTAAGAAAGAGAAACGAGTTGCGACAGTTTGAAACAGAGTACCGAAAAGTAATTTTATACTATCAAGAGCTCACTCAATATTTAGGGAGGGCATGAAACCTAATGACTGTTTATATTCTTTTGCAAGGCTTTGGCGCGCTTTCAAGAAGTTACCAACATATATACCCAGGAGAAGCAAACTGTAAGTTGATGAATCTCTTAACTTTTTTATCACCAGTTTATTCCGTGTTACATTTGTTTTGCTGTGATCAATACACACTGTTTCTAAAGACAGTATGTAATTTGATAGGCAATAGAATATGAAATGTCTAATACAGGAATCGAAAACCAGAAATAGTAATTGGTGGGAGGGATCACAGATTTTTGGGTCTTGAGATCAAGGAGAGTTTTTAGATCCCTGTAACAGATCTCTTGATTACTCTTTGTTTTATGTGTCGGTTTGCTCTTTGTTCATAGGTTGCTTATGGAGTAGTTTGACGAATTAACAGCTGAGAAACAAAGGAAAACTTTGTCGATTTCTACTGTTCTCTATTTGATTTTAATAGCAGTTTGTGAATTTTGTGCTACCACAAATACAAAATCCAAGAGCTCTTGCAGATCTACAAGTGTTTGATTGGTCTTTCTTTGGATGATGGTTGGTGCAGGTGGACGAACTGCTAAAGCAACGAGATACAATCCATTCATCTTTCTCTGTCGTGAAGACACCAAGCGTCAACAACTTGACCAATGGAAGTAGCAGCAAAACTCAAGGAGAGGAATCAAAAGTGGATGGGGATAGTGCGGGAGAAGAAGGCGGATCAGAGAGCAGAGACAAATCAAAAAGGAAATGGTTCAACTTGAACCTAAAAGGATCTGATAAGAAACTTGGTTGACCGAAACACGGATTCGTTTGTGGTTCATTGGATAGACAGAACCGACTCGGTGACTGTTGATCACTGGGTGTGCTGCTCTATGGATGGGTTTTGTAGGCATATGTGTTCATCGAAATTGGTTTGAGAGAAGGAAAAAGAGAGAGAGATGCATCATTGATTCATTGTTTGTTATATTTATATATCAACAGAATTTGTCATTGGTTAAAAAAAATTTTATTCACATATCGATTTTTGATGTTTTTTTTTTTTAATAAAGATAATTATTAGTTCTGAAAAAAAAATTCGATTTCTTTTTTTGTTTACAAGAAATTTTGTGTGAATGAAATTAAGAGAAAAATGGTGTGTACTAGAAAAAAAAAAATCTGTTTTAAAAAAAGGAAAACAAACAAAAACATAGAAAAATCGGATTTCTTTCCTGAAAACCCTTTGTTTCTTCGATTGTTCATCGTTTCTTTCTTTGGTTGAATTCCATGGAGTTCTGAAATTCGTGCAATTTCTCGGTTGAATATTACTCCGAATTTCTCCAGAAATTGCTTCGATTTTGAGACATTTGTGTTGAAATTAGTAGGCGAAGATTAGGTCGGAGGAGGTGTGAAGATGAGTGCGAAAAAGGTGGAAGGGACGTCTTCTCCGGCGATCCGACGTGACCCGTACGAGGTGCTCTCTGTATCAAGAGACGCCAATGATCAGGAAATCAAATCCGCTTACAGAAAATTAGCTCTCAAGTAAGCTTCTTCGCGAATTTCGCATTGTAATGATAAAGCAATGTTTTTTTGTTTATAAACCAGTAAGGTTATGTGAAGGATCTAAGCTTTTTTTCTGCTTTGCTTCAACCTCATGGCCTTGGATGCAATTTCGATGTGAAGTTTTTGTCAGTGACTATAAACTCTAATGTTTGGATACTGTTATGACTTGATGGGTGTAGATGGTAAG